TCATCTTTTAAATTCATAAAATCATCACATCAATACTTTAAAATCATTAAATATGATTGTTAAATCAAAAACTTAATCTAATATATATTGGATGTGTATACTTATAAAGGCTAAAATTCAGGGGAAAAAGTTTAAATTTTACAATAATTAAAAGGTAAAATTCAAAAAATAAAGGTTTTATTTAATCGGTATTTAAGCGGTGCTAAATTAAAGAAACTGACATAACAGGCTTACACCAACTATATCTCTCCACCTCACTTCCTGTAACCTTCTTCTTTGTAATTCCCCCAACTTTCTAATTTCTAATTCCCTGAAGCGGTGGAAGCGGCACGCCCAACGCATCTTCAAAAAGCGCTCGCTTTTAAGCGCATGAGAGAGCCTTTCGTTAGTCGCTTCGCTTATGGCTTTAGAGGCATTTAGTTCTGCGCCTATAAGCGCCCCGCGCTTTTTAAAACTAAGAAAGGGCTTAATACCTTGGTTCGTTTTCCTAATCATATTAAGTTTGCATTTAATTCAAGTTAGTCCAACTTCATAGAGGAGTTCTAGTCACTTCTTTTAGAAGTAGGGTTTCTATTTTCTTGCCTACAGTCCTCTTTTTCTTTCTCACGGGAAACTACGATACTATATCGCTATTGGGATTGTGTAATGCAATCAACCTTATGTTTGATTCAATTAAGAAATTCTAGGTGTGATGCTTTTTGGTTGTGGTGTACTTGATGAATCTAGGTGCGAAGCTCATAATCTTTTGTTCTTTGTTTCCCTTTTGCTTTATTCAACTCTACATAGTATTTTCTTAACAATTGCAGATCGTTGTTATCGTAGAACCAGTCTGCTACACACCAATACGAAAATGGCAACATGAGAGTTCCCAACAATCCCCAGGGTCTCTATTCAGCCATTCTATGCTTCAAGTGCTAGTTTCCGACAATAGAAAAATTCCCCAACTCCAATTCCACAATGCCACTGAGTTTTGCAACAAACCTCCAAATTGATCAACATCATCATCTAACAGGAAGTCTAAAAATATGGAACACTGATCGAATGAATATCATATTGATAATATCAGACAACTCTTTAGTCCAGCTAGTTCCTTCCTAACAATGGTACTGTTCTGTTTTCACTTCCCAAATGAATTAAAAATTGAGGCCAAATGTTCCTTCCAATTAGAAAAATGAAGGAAAAGCAAAGCATAGGTTAACAGAAGCAAATGGAGAAACTATAGCTTAGAGAGAAAAAGTATAATGTTAAATTGTTAGATGTCCACGCTTCACAGTGAAGATATTTGATGGAAAACAATAATATAGACAGGAAAAAGAAAAAAACAATGAGAAGGAAGCAGACCTCTCTATCGGATCCCCGAATAGTGAGTCGATATACAACAGTGATGGTTCCATCACAGCGAATTTGACGTCACGTACTTTCCGCACCATCCTGCGAGAAATATTGAATCCACCATTTCTAAAAATCGGTTGCAATTCAAAGTGGAAACCTCAAAAACGAAATTGAAACGAAAAACAAGTTAAGAAAGAAGGGAAAAGGGGACAAACCAGGGGCATAGAAACTCAAAATGCGATTGGCATGGTACCTGGGGTGATCCCATAAGAACAGATCAGAACAAAACCGAATAAGATTGAGAAATCCTGAAACAAAAAAAAAAGCTACGGGCAGTATCAGGGGAGAAACGTTGAAGAAGAAGAAGAAGAAGAGCTAGAAGGAGGGGTGATGATGTTGTCAGGGACACGCTTATTGAGGTCGCGCAGGATTTCGACCAGAGGGCGAGTGAGGCAAGAGGAGTTGGAGGGTGAAAAGGTCTTGCTCAAAGGCACTACGTAGTTTGAATAGGGGACACCCTTTTCCACATTGCTGCTGCTACAACGGAGATGGCCAATGAATCGGCGTCTTCCCCTGCACATTCCTCCAACTACCAGCCCCCCATTGCTTTTGCTACCATACTTACAATAGTTGGTATCGGAAGAGAGCTGCGGTGCCGTCGACCATTGAGAGTTGAAGACGAAGCAGGCTCGCAATTGTAATGCCATTAATATTATTTCTTTTCCGATCTCCCAGGTTGGTTATCGTGAAATCAAACCTACCATCTTGTCTTTTCCTTTCTCCTTCGCAATCTACATATCTAAACTTGCATTTCACACCGTGTATATATATACACATCTGCAATGGCCTTGCTTTCCAAGAAAAATGAAAAACCACACTTTAGTCCCTTAAAAATATGAAATTATTCATTATTATAAGGGGCAAATTGCACTTTAACTCTTTCAAAAATTTAAACTTCAGTTTTGACCCTAAAAATGGGTTAGAATTTCACCCTTGAATATCTGTAGAAAAGGATATTCTATAGTAAAGTAGTAAAAGGTGCGATGCGATCACTAAATAAAATAATATATAGATTAATTTACAGTTTCATATGATGTACGGATTAAAGTAGTAAAAGCGTATAATTAAAATTAAAAGTTGATTTCAAATGAATCATTAATTAAAATTGAAACATATTATAATTTTTTTTTTTCAAAAAATAACGACACTCATTTCATCTGATATCTGCATTTCAATAACATATTATTTCCCTTTATTAATTTAAAATGATTTAATATAATATTTACGATTTAATAACATATTGTTAGTTGTTTTTTATTATGATATTTGCGCACGCGTCTTCGGATTTATCTTCAAACGTTTCTTAACCTCAAACTAATTTTATACAAATCAATTTCCCTTAGTGGTTAAAAGAATTGATATTCCTAGAAGTCATAGGTTTGAGTATCAACAAATGTAAAGGTGATTAAATGTTTATTATTAAATAATTAGGAATATTTAAAATAAATATTATTTTATAATTACTCTAACATAATAATAATAATAAAACCTCAAACTGATTTTATTTCAATTATGCATTCGGGATCTTAATTGGGCAGGACTGGTGTGGTTGTGGATGCTCTTTCCGCACTACCAAGAATTTTTATTTTTATCTCCAAACTATTATTATATTATAACATTTAAAATTTAAAATATTTTGATTGTATCTAAATCCATCTAATCTTTACTATATATATCTTAGTATTCATTTCATATAATATATTTATAAATATCAATTAAATAAATATAAATACTTTTTACGAAAAATATAAAATTTATGTCCTTTAGACTCTCACTACATATATAACATTATTCCAACTATCATCATTTAAAAATTAAAAATTAATCATTGTTGTTTGTAGTTGCAAAATAAAAACATTGAAGTTTGTATTAATTCTAGTTGGAGCTTTCGCCGCTTACTTAGCATGAGACTCCAAGCTTTTCATGTGCTAACTTCGGGTGCGTAGAATATTAAGGAAATTTGGCTTCTGATTCGTAACAAAGGGGTAAAAGTTGCTTGGCACAAACTGATCTGGTTCCCTCTCCATATTCCTAAGTTTAGTATTATTGCATGGATGGCCTTATTAGACAGACTCCCAACTAAAGACAGACTGAAATGTTTTGGGTTTGATATCGACGATAAATGTGTGCTTTGTAATGACTCGATGGAAACTAGAGATCATTTATTCATTCAATGTCCTCTAGCTATTTCTCTATGGGATGCGGTTATCATTCTCAATGGCATGCGAAGGACATCACGTTCATGGGGAAATCACTTAGCTTGGGCTTGTGATACTTGGAAAGGTAGATCCTTGCTCACTACCATTTTGAAATTAGTTTGGACAACATTTATTTACACTGTTTAGGAGGAGAGGAACAAGAGGCTATTCCAAGGATGCTCACGTAATTTTGAAGCACTGCTCCATGCTGTTAAACATTCTGTTGTTATCCAGCTAAGGGGTAGAAGTATTAATAGGAATGATGGTGTTAATACTGCACTTTGTAATCAATGGGGTATAGATTAGCTGATATTTTGTTCTGCTTGTAAGTAGATACTTTTTGTATTTTTGAACAGGCTGTTTTTTATGCAGATCCTGCTCCTTGAATAATAAAATTGAATTATCCAAAAATAATAATAATAAATAAATAAAGAAAATGAAACAATAATTATTCTTGGTAAAAGTTATTGTCGTAGATGCATTTTCACCCGAATTGGTATAATTATTACAATGGACGTTATGAAGTTTATATAGCCTTCTAAGCTTTGTACACCCTACGTGAGGAGATGAAACCCCTGTGTTGTTCTCTTAGACAAAATTTTTTTTCGAGAAAAACGAAATGAAACCATCAATTACTTTCTAAATAATATGAGGTGATTACAATGTATTATATGATTAGAATTTCTTATGCTAATGCACGAATAATTTTACAGATGTAGCTGCTCGAACTCAGATCTTATAGGGAGAATAACATTTTTTTTTACTATTGAGAATAGATAATTTTATATCTATAGAAACTAGAAACACACAATTAAATAAAAATATAACTTTATAATAATTAACTAATTTAGAGGGTATCATTTTAGCTCTTTAAATATGTTAGATCAAGGAATGAATCCAAAATTTTATATCTAGGAAGTTATATTAGAAATATATGGATACAAAATTCTAAAATTTTAGGAGTATGAAACTAAATAATTAATAGAAAATATTAAAATACCTAATTATATGAGAATTAAAAAATTTAGAATGGGACCACCCATAACACTCTTGCATAAATAATTTATTTTAAGAAAGTATGTTAATTTTATTTTTTAATATGAGATTGTTAATAAAAAGTGAAAAACAGTTGCTCATTTTGTTGCTAAAAATTTTGAAGCAAACAAAGAGAGCGATGGAAGGGTGTTTCAGTTACAGTGAATGACATTTTAATAAGGGAAACAGAGAAAAACGCTCTCTTTCCTGCATTTGTGTTTTCCGAGTATCTGTCTCCTACTCCATTCTTCCTTTCAGTTTCTTGTGTTTAGCTCATAAGTTTACCCATAGTCTATTTCTTTGTCTCATGGATTGCATTTGATTATTTTTCTGGTTTCAGATTCAAAACAGAAGCAAATTAGGGGGGGGGGAAACAAAGTGTAGTCTGGCAGAAAACAAGAGTGGAAAATGACGAGCAGGAACGTAGAGAAGTTGACATCAATAGATGCGCAGCTGAGGCTGTTGGCGCCTGCTAAAGTCTCGGAAGATGACAAGTTGGTGGAGTACGATGCTTTGCTATTGGATCGTTTCCTCGAAATTCTTCAAGATTTGCATGGAGGGGAGATAAGAGAAACGGTGATTAACCAATCTTTCATTCATGATTCATTCCATTTTTTACATTAATCTTGATGTCAATGTCAATGTTGATGATAGGTTCAAGAATGCTATGAGCTTTCGGCCGAGTACGAAGGAAAGCATGACCCCAAAATATTGGATGATCTTGGGAAAGTCATAACAAGTTTGGACCCAGGGGATTCAATTGTTGTAGCGAAATCGTTCTCCCACATGCTTAACTTGGCGAATCTGGCAGAGGAGGTTCAGATCGCGCATCGGAGGAGGATCAAGTTGAAGAAGGGTGACTTTGCCGATGAAAGTTCGGCAACGACAGAGTCCGACATCGAAGAGACGTTGAAGAGGCTTGTGGGACAATTGAACAAGTCCCCTCAAGAAGTTTTTGATGCTCTCAAGAATCAGACTGTGGATTTGGTCTTCACCGCCCATCCTACTCAGTCAGTTCGAAGATCTTTACTTCAGAAGCACGGAAGGTTTGTCTTCTGTTTCATAGGAATCGTTTTGCTCTCTGTTAGCAGTCAGAGCATTTTAATGATCTTGTTTATTTTGAACTTTCAGGATCCGTAATTGTTTAACACAGTTGTATGCTAAAGACATTACGCCGGACGATAAGCAGGAACTGAATGAGGCGCTACAAAGGGAGGTATGAATATGCCAATGCTGGTTATTTCAACAAAAACTGCAAGTTTAGTAATAGCTTGTCCATGAAGTAACTATGGACCTTATACTGTTTTTATTTTTCATTAGATTCAAGCTGCCTTCCGAACAGATGAGATCCGAAGAAATCCTCCCACCCCACAGGATGAGATGAGAGCAGGAATGAGCTACTTCCATGAAACCATCTGGAAAGGTGTACCACAGTTTTTGCGTCGTATCGACACAGCTTTGAAGAACATAGGGATACACGAACGTGTTCCCTACAATTGTCCCCTTATTCAATTCTCTTCATGGATGGGAGGGGATCGTGACGGTATGTTGCTTTTCCACGTACACCATTTAATCGTAAGACCTGTAAGTGTGAGATGTACATTCGATCTGGTTCCGTTGTGCAGGGAATCCCAGGGTAACTCCTGAAGTTACAAGAGATGTATGCTTGTTGGCTAGAATGATGGCTGCTAACTTGTACTTCTCCCAAATAGAGGATCTTATGTTCGAGGTATTAAAGAGACTTTTTTCTTCTTCCCTATGGTTTGCGTTGTAGTTTATGATTTATCACGATTTTGATTGATTATTCTTGTTTGTTCTATTTTCAGTTGTCAATGTGGCGATGCACGGACGAACTCCGTGCTCGTGCAGATGAACTTTTTAGGACTTCAAAAAAAGATGCAAAGCATTACATAGGTTCTAAGATTGATCTTTAAGATGTGTTTTAATTATGATTCCTGAAAAATGTATTTGCTTGATATGGTCGACTGGAATACTATTATGAAATGTTTTATGCGCGCAGAATTTTGGAAACAGATTCCTCCGAATGAACCCTATCGTGTTATTCTTGGTGACTTGAGGGACAAGCTATATAACACACGTGAACGTGCTCGTAGCCTACTGGCCGATGGGTGGTCAGAAATTCCTGAAGAAGCAACTTTCACCAATGTGGAGCAGGTCTCTTCTTTTTAAAATCCTTCAAAAACAACTTCATTTCCATTTTATTCTGTAGAATGTAGAATTATGTTATTTCTGAATATGGACTGGTTCCTTCTTGCATTCTGTAGTTTCTGGAGCCTCTTGAGCTCTGCTACCGATCACTCTGCGCTTGTGGCGATCGACCAATAGCAGATGGAAGCCTTCTTGATTTCTTAAGGCAACTTTCTACCTTTGGGCTTTCATTTGTAAGACTTGATATCCGGCAAGAATCTGACAGGCATACTGATGTCCTCGACGCCATCACCAAGCACCTAGATATCGGATCATATAAAGAATGGACTGAGGAACGCAGACAGGAGTGGCTCTTATCTGAACTCAGAGGCAAGCGCCCACTATTCGGCCCTGATCTTCCCAAAACAGAAGAAGTCGCTGAAGTGTTGAACACATTCCATGTCATTTCAGAACTGCCACCGGACAACTTTGGTGCCTACATAATCTCAATGGCAACGACCCCATCTGATGTGCTTTCTGTCAAACTTTTACAACGTGAATGCCATGTGAAGCACCCATTACGGGTGGTTCCGCTGTTCGAAAAACTGGATGATCTCGATGCTGCTCCGGCCGCCATGGCTCGTCTCTTCTCTATAGATTGGTACAAAGATCACATCAATGGAAAACAAGAAGTAATGTTAGGTTACTCGGATTCTGGAAAGGATGCCGGCCGTCTCTCTGCAGCTTGGAAGCTATACAAGGCTCAAGAGGAACTCGTAAAGGTGGCAAAGCAGTATGGGGTTAAGCTGACAATGTTCCATGGCCGAGGAGGGACAGTTGGACGAGGAGGAGGACCCACCCATCTTGCTATACTGTCTCAACCGCCCGACACAATTAACGGATCATTTCGTGTAACGGTTCAAGGTGAAGTTATTGAGCAATCATTTGGAGAGGAGCACTTGTGCTTCAGAACACTTCAGCGTTTTACCGCTGCTACACTTGAACACGGAATGCATCCCCCTGTGTCACCAAGACCAGAATGGCGTGCACTCATGGATGAAATGGCAACCGTTGCAACAAAAGAATACCGTTCTGTAATCTTCCAGGAGCATCAGTTCGTTGAATACTTTCGCCTGGTAAGTCTTTCACCGTTATTAAACGCTACAAACTTCGGAGAAAGATTTATCTATATCTATAAACATATGGAGCTGGCTGAGAAAACTGACTGTGAATTAACTGGTTGCAGGTGACACCAGAATTGGAGTATGGTCGGATGAATATTGGCAGTCGCCCATCAAAACGAAAGCCAAGCGGAGGCATCGAATCACTCCGTGCAATCCCATGGATCTTTGCATGGACTCAAACGAGATTCCATTTGCCTGTGTGGCTTGGCTTTGGGGCTGCTTTTAAACATGTCCTTGACAAGGATAAAAAGAATCTCCAAATTCTTCAAGACATGTACAACCAATGGCCTTTCTTTAGAGTCACAATGGACTTAATCGAAATGGTGTTTTCCAAGGGAGACCCTGGGATCGCTGCCTTATACGACAAGCTGCTAGTATCACAGGATCTCTGGTCCTTCGGGCAGAAATTGAGAACAAACTATGAAGAGACTAGAATTCTTATTCTCCAGGTAATAGCAACATGGCTTATTTTCTTGATAGGCTAAACCAAAGCTGACTTTCTTCCATTGGATTGTAGGCTGCTGGACACAGAGATCTTCTTGAAGGAGATCCGTACCTGAAGCAGAGACTCCGTCTTCGCGATGCTTACATCACAACGCTTAATGTGTGCCAAGCATACACATTGAAGAGGATCCGAGACCCGGATTATCACTGCAAGGTGAGGCCTCACTTATCCAAGGAGACACCAAGCAAGCTCGCTGCGGAACTTGTGAATCTTAATCCGAAAAGCGAGTATGCTCCTGGTCTTGAAGACACCCTTATTTTGACCATGAAGGGTATCGCTGCTGGCATGCAGAACACTGGTTGAAAATCCACTGTTGTTTTCTTGTCTTCTCATGCATGCTTTTCCCTATTGATTGTCTGAAATGTATTGCCTTTCAAGGGCTGAATTTTTGCATTCAATAAATCCTTTATTATTATTTCTAGTTTTAATCATGTAGATTTGGAATTTATGAATTTTCTATCAACAAAAAAAAACTACATTATGTAAATCCATTACAACAGCAAAAGCTGCAGTATTCCATCTCATGCATACCAAACCTTTTTACTAATGTTCCATCTGTAGGTAAGGTGCCCTTGACCAGTCTCTTTTCTTGTTTGCCAAGGCACTTCCAATGCACAATAAAGTTGCATTCAGGTTCATCACATTCAAGTGCCTGTGTTGCAAATTTTATGACAAGCATTACATGGAGGGCGGTTTCAGTCTTCTTGAAGAAGGTGGGGGACAGAGGGAGTGATGATGACCTTCATGTCTGAATTTGCTCCCAAGCTCGATAAATGGGAGATCCTGATAATACAATCTATGTGAATGGAACTGTCACATTTGTTCACAATGGTAGAATCAGGAGTATGCTTCTTCACATATATCACAATAATGTTGACTCGGATCAGAATGATTGTGATAAGTAGTCAGATCATGCTTGTTTGAAGTACTTGAGATATATGAACAAGAAGAAATCACAAATGAATGGTAACAGTGTGTTCACAGTGTAAAAAGTGATCAATCTGCCTTCCAGACTCAGCACATTGTTTATGAAGGTTAAAGTTACTACATCGTAAACATCTATAGGTCGAACCAGACAGTCGCTCGTAACATTCAAAGCAAAAGGCAGGAACATCCTCATCATGCTTTTCAATGAACATCAATTTACGCTCATGTGAATAATGGACGAGTTCAGGAAAGTTGACACGAATGGATAGATGACGTGAGGAACAAGTGATATTATCCATTGCCAACAGTAATATTCTCCATTGCCAGATTTGAATTTAGCTCTAAGAAAAGGATAGATGGAAGACTAATTTGGATCTAAGAAAAGAATAGATACCTAAATCAATGATACTTTTCGTATGTGTGGAAAAGAACAGCAATTTACAGAAATTGTACAAGAATAAGCATTATAGTCATCTTCTCCAAAGCATTTTTCAATGAACAGCGATAAAGAATACGAAGACTGATACTTCAATCGTTTTTATTATTAAACCTTTGTTTTTCCCCAACAACAGTAACTGCATCATCTATAGTTTGAAAGAAAGTTGCAATCTTGTATGTGAAGAATCCCACCAACATTGGGATCAATTCTAACTGCATGCATCCATATTCTGGAACAAGGATCCTACACCCAACACAACACAAACACATCCATTGTCAACATGTTTTTTCTTGTACAACACCCTTGCAAATTACAGAAAGTCACAAGCAGTAATGCCAACGAAGTTAACTTCAGAATATTTCATTATTGAATTTTCAACCAATATTGGGGGAGTGGGAAAAGCATAAACTCCAAAGAAATGTGATTCTTAACCCCAGAGTTTCAAGGGGTGACCTTTTACCACCTTCCATCGTGCATCGGAACTCCATAAGCAACAAATTTATACAAAAATGAGTAACGGCTAATAACAGAATACAGAGAAATACTAGAGAGGCAAAGGTATTGTAATGATCGGAAATAGGTGAAGGAATGAAAAACATAGATGTCAAAAGAATTTCAATAGACTGGCTTCAGAAGAGGAGTATGTTCAAGCTAACAGATAAGCAATGCTCAAGAATGCTAAAGAATGTGCTTACCCGTTCCAACGATTATTTTTTTTTTTTGATAAGAAGTTGGGCCTCGTTAAAAACCCCTTCATGATTAATGGAACAAAAAATGTTCCTTAGTCAGCTTAAGAAGGAAAAGAGTGCCTTAATAACCATAAATAATCAAAAGTTACATAAAGATTAACAACAAAACTCTCCCTTACAATAATAAACCCAAAAGCTAATAGAATCTAGAGAAACTGAGAACTAACCGATACCGGCCTTAGCTAAACTGTCAGCCTCAACATTAGCTGATCTAGGAACCCATCTAATAATACCATTTAAATCTCTTAACAAAAGACCAATATCTCTCACTAAAACACTGTAGACAACAGGACATCGATCATAGTTCTTGACCCACTCCACTGCTAGTTTACTATCAGATTCAACGATTATAGATCATGACCAATACAACAGGAACTAATAGCCTTGGCTGTGCCACTGCCCCCCTGCAACCAAAGCTCAAAATGAACTAAATGGTTAAACTACGGTCACTTTAGACTAGGAAGAGTTTGTATGGCACAAAAGTGGAAAACTTCCATTACATCAGTATTCAGTAATGCTAAATTAGTTTTGACATGCGAACATAATGTTTAAATCCTAATTGTAGGAAAAATATGAATGTCATAACAGAGGAAACAAGGATAATGAGGGTAGAATAGAGAAGAAAGCCAAAACGAATTTATTTCCAAACTTTGATAAAAGGACAATCTACCTTAGGTACATTAACAATCAAGATATCTCTAATGATTATTTCTGCACTCAAAACAATTTCTCCAGTTGCATATTGCTACTAAAATTTGTCCTCTCTAAGAGAAAATTTTATTTCCAAGATTGAATTGAAAAAACAATCAACTTTACTTCATAATCCCTTTTGCTCCTTCTGCCAGTGAATCCACACTAGTTCCAAGCATACGCATATACGCCAACGAACCAAGCAACCCAGCACCAAAGCTGCAGTCAGGAAAATTGAAAAAGCTTCAAAGTTGAGTTTTAATCCGGTGATTACGTTTAGTTTCAACATTTTCAAAAGTTTGAAACTCTTTTTAAGAAGTCCGGTCTGATTACTGGTAAGAGGATAACAAAAAGGAGACGGTACATAATCCGAACTCAATATTGTTTTCACCTCCTTTTTGTTACCCTCACCAGTGGAAGGAATATGAAAGAAATACAAATTTGTTATGTACCCTCCCGAATACACCAGTCCTAGAATTCATATACTGAGATTCTCCCTTCTCACATACTAGGTGCCACTGAGGTTCAGGTGCTGAAGAATGGTTAGTATGGACGTCTACTCAGAGAATTTAGTAGTATGACTAGGTCACAATTTTAAAACAAAAGAAGCGGAAAATAGGGCGAAAGACACCGAGAGATGTTACAGAATGTTAGCTATCAGTGGCAACTCCATATTAGTTAAAATTTCTAATCACGGCAGGAACACAATAAGATGGACTGGTAAGAATGCAATGAATAACTAAAACATGTACAAACAGGTACAGACCTAGCAGCAACTTCAGGAGAGTAAGAAACGTAAGTTGAGACTAATCCTACACCGCCAATAACCAAGGTGAGAACTTGCAACTTCTTTCTCAACTGCAGCAGGAATTCCAGAAGTTATAAATAAGAGAATTCTTAACAAATCTCTTATGATTGGTACAAACAGAGTGGAACTGTAACAAATGAGATGAAGAGATCAAAACCAACTACTCAAACCACCTTAAAGTACTGTTCCCTCGATTGAGCAGCCAGTAGTTCAGGGTCTCCTTGAGGCCGTCTCAGTTCTTGGAACATCACATCCTATATGGCAGAACAAAAACAAGAATCAGAAGATACAAAATCGAAGCATCCTTCCATAAGACAACGTCAATAATCAACATAACTAGAGCTCCTATTTCTTAAAGTATACACTAAAGTCAAATTTGGGATTCAAAGTCTAAAATATCTAATATTGTGTGTTTTCTTGAGAAAGTGATCAAAGCTAGACTAACAGTCATCAAGTGGAAAAATGAGATATAACTTACACTGCCACCTGTTGAAGCCTTTGTTGCTTTATCCCACTTTTCTTGTTCACTCCGTGTCGGTACCAATTTCCATCTGCGTGACACACCGCCACTGTTTTGCTAGTCATTTCGTTCCAATAAATTAAATACGAAAAAAAATAGTAATTACAAAGAAAATTCCATTAGAGCAATTAGTTCTGACTGGAAATGAAGAGCACTTATCTTACTTGAGTTGTAGATTCAACAGCCTGTTGTGACACAAGCTTTGAAGGTGCTGTCAGTTCCTTGCTCAAATCGATTTCCAGACTATTTATATTCCCATAGGTTCAATTAGAAACAAAACAATCACACCAGCAACCAAAATGGAAGAAAGAAATATCCACAGGGAATAAACAGCAGAGCTAAAAGAGACAAACCTGGCAAGGCTCATAACTCGGTTCAAGCTTAAGAATCCCGAAGGCTCTTCCTGTTTACACCAAACCATAGTAATACAATTACTATATATCTATCTAATCACCACATACATACATCTTTTCTAAAGTGACTAAAATGAAACATAAAAAAGACCAAAAAACACAAATATTGACAAAAAAAAAAGAGCCCCATAGTGAGAATAAGAGGAATAAATCGAAAGAAAGAAGAGAATTGGAGCTTAACAGGAGAGGATTGAAGTGAAGAATCCTCAGCAGCAGCGGCATCGGGGTCCTGAATTAGCTTCTTCATTCTATCAACGAATTCATTGTTCCAAATGAAGTCATCAGAAATTAAAGGGTCCTCCTTTTCACCACCCCAGTACTTGCGAAGGTTGGAGGTAGTGGGTGATCCGCCATAGTCGCTTGAAGCCACACCTGTAGACCATTTGCGTGTCTTCTTCCTAGGGGATATGACTTTGGTCGGCCTCTGGTTTGGTGCTGGCTGTTCTTGAGAGAATGTAGCTGTTGGTGAAGTTAGTCTCAATGATATAGAGTTTAGTATGGCCATTGTTAACCGAAGGCGAGAGCTTGTTCAATGCTGCTGGGAAAATTGAAGATTAATATTCAGTTTCATTCGTTCATTTAGAAATCAATATGCGAAAGGAAACTACAGGAAAAATATCTAGTTTCGATTTGGTGTCATCATATCCATTGATATTCCACACAACTCATTTGATTTTGTTATGACATTTTTTATAAACAATGTCTACACACCACCTCAGATATTTCTGTGTTTTATACAAGCAGATATTTATTTGTGTATCTTTCTAAAGAATCTATATGTCTATACATCTTATAATTAAAATGATTATTATTATCTTTAAAGATTTAGAGTTCGAATATCAAATTTATAAAAATATTTAAATATTTATTATTGAATAATAAATAATTTTTTAAATAAATATTACCTTATGCTAATCAAACTAATTAAAATAAAGATAGCAACGCATACACATCTTCAACGAATCGATTGAAATATGGATTCTTTAGAAAGATATTAGTACGCGTACCTACACACCCTAAATTCATTTAATAAATTTATTTTTATTTACAAATTAAAACATTAGCTTCCTGTAATTTTCTTGAAAAATATATAAAATGTCAACAAAGTAATATTGAACACAATTATTTTAATAACCTTTATATAGTTAAGTTTGAAATTTAATACATGTATTAAAAATATAATTTATGACACGAGATTAAATAAATTTAATATAAAATAAAATGCAGTATATAATTAAATATATTTTCTAATAAAATATTTTATTTTTTTAAAATTTAAAATATTTAAAATTTTTATGTATATAACAGATCTGTTAAATACTTTTAAAAAGTTAAGTAAAAGGCGAGGTAATTCTATTTTTTAAAAAAAAAAATTAATGTGACCCTCAAATTATTTTTATATTTAATATAGTCTTCAAATTTAGAAAAATAATTTAATTAGGGATGAGTATAGGACCTGAATCCCATGGGTTTCGATCCGACCCGACCCAACTGAGGTCAATTTTTTAAAAATTTAGATTTAAGTTGGGTTTGGGTCTAGAGTGAAAAATATCCTACATGGCCCTAAAAATATAATTTTACTTTATGTATTTACAGATAATTGTAATAATACCCCTTTATACATTATTTTTTTCAATTAAATATTTATTTTTATTAAATAAAAATAATATTTTTTATAAATATATTATTTTGGATCGAGTAGTGTCGAGTTTGGGTTGGGTTAGATTCAGGTCAGGTGGAAGGTGTATAATTTTTGGGTCAGGTCGGGTTGACCAAAAATCAGACTCATGCCCATCCCTAAGCTCAATATGACTCTTTGACCAATGGTTTATGTCATTGATCATTACGATAATGACGTGATATTTAATAATATTGATGTATAGTCTACAATGCTAACATAGCGATCTAAGGTGATTGTTGATGTTGCTAATGATGTGATAGATTGATTAAATTGATTTTTTTTATTGAATTTGAATGTCAAATTGATTTTTTTTAAAAGTTTAGAAAATTATTTAATTTTAAAAAAATACTAAAAATAAAAATTAAATTACTAAAATTTAATATATATATATATATATATATATACACACACACACATTAACCAGAGTGATTGAAAAAGTTGTTGTTAAATAATGCATTAAATTTATAGATGAATTTTAATTTGAGTTTTATTTTATTTAGTAAAAAAATAGCTGACCATATTCTCATATGTAATGGGGTGAGGGGGAGGTAAGGTAGTAGACTGCCCGAACGCCAGGTTGAGAGCAGCTTCCGTGAAAGACCTCTGGCAGTCAGAATTATGAATTATCCACCGTGAGACTCGATCCCACGACCACAAGGTTAAGAACTTTGTAATGTGAGTTTAGTAGTATAATTATATTTTTATATTTGTACATATCAATTCTAATGTGAGTTTTATTTTATTTTTATTTTGTAAAGACAAATTTGTTATTCCTTTTATATATATATATATTGAGGGTGATAAAGAAAACCTCAAACACATAGAGTCCATATTCACCTTGATTTTATAGAGTTGTATCTTACAGAAATTGACGGGTATATCGATTTTCCTATTAATTTATGTTGAGATCAAATTTAGGTAAAATTTATTTTCATCTATCATTTTATATTCATTAAAATGATCTTATTAATTGTATAATTATATATTTAAATTATATAATTTCATAAAAATAAATTTTAATTTCAAATCTTTTAAATTTTATTTTTTATAAAAAGTTATCATATTTATTTTATTTTAGTTTATTTTAGAAAGATTTAGTGAAATAGAATAAGAAAGATATTTGGAATTTAAGATAATTAGAGCTAAATATATAAAATAAAATTTATGCAAGATTAAAGAGTTTAGATTTATATAAATAAAAATCAAGTTAAATTCGAGTAAAAATAATAATATATATTTTTAACTTTTTAACAATTTAATTTTTATTTTTGGTATTTTATTATATTTAATTTACTTAATATTTTTATATAATGAAATTCAAATAAACCCTTAAACTTAAAAATAAACAATTTGGCCCTCAACTCAATAAAAAAATAATTTAGCTCATATGTCACATTATTAATCATGTCACAAGTTAATGTGGACCATCACGTCAACATCGTAGACCATCACGTCAACATCGTAGATTATCACATCAGCATCGTAAAATGCCACATCAACATCATAATGGTCAAGTATGAAAATTGTTGGTCAAAAGTCCACGTTAGATTCTTTTTCTAAGTTTTTTTTATTTCATTTCATTACCCAAGAAAAGCATAAACATGCTACATAAAACACATAAAACATCTATCTAAAGATTAACCAACAACACAATGGCAACCATCTAAGAAATGACCCATTTGCTACAAAGCCAAACATTAACAGGGTCAAACCTGTTTATATCCCAACCCCTGAGGCGTACATGTACCACCTCCTTGATGTCCTGCAGAACAACACCCACTGCACGATCTTGTCCAGCAAAATAATGTGGCAAGCCCAAGCAATCTTAAGTATCATAATGATAAGAGACTTCCCTTTTAAAGTGACAAAGTGCCCAAGCCAGCTCCCTTTCCCAATAATTAACTCTACGAGAAAGGCCACATAAAACCATAACACCCCCAACAACTCCTTAGCAAAGTCCCAACAAAAAAAATGGTCCTTGGTCTCCTTCTCATTGCCACAAATCACACACATATCACTTTCAATGTTTAAGCCCATCCGTACGAGCCTCACTCTCGTAAGAAGCCTATCAAGAATGGCAATCCATACTATAATACCATGTTTTGGAATACGCTCCGTAAATCAAACAAGATTATGCCAAGGAACCTTTGGAAGCTTAATCCTTAAATCATCCCAAATCAGACCAACTTTAAGAGACATCCCATATGTTCCAACAAAAAGGTGAGAATCCTTTTAAAACTCTAGCTTGCATTAATGGGAATCTTTATCTGCCAAAAATTTACATCCTTCATCACATATGCCCTTATCCAAGACACCCACAGGGAGCTCTCTCAAGCCAGAATATTCTTGATCAGTTGAAATATACAAGCTTTATTCTAGCCACCAAAATCTTTCACACCCAGCCCACCTTCAGATCCCAACAGACATATATGCTTCCAACTAACACATGCTCCTCTAGATGTCGTATCTGCTTATTTCCAAAAGAAACGAGTGCATAACTGCTCAATTATTTTAATCATTGCTTGAGGCAAAATTAGTTGCCTACACCAGTACCTAGCAATGCTAAAATGTACAACCCGGATAAGTTGCAGCCGGCCAGCAAAGCTAAGATGACGATTGGCCCAAAGACTTAACTTAGCCCTAACCTCATCAATGAGGCTAAGACAATCCGTCTCAGTAAGTTTCCGAGTAACCAATGGTACACCTAAGTACCTCACAGAGAGTCTGCCTAACTGAAATCCAAAAACCATCCTTATAGTTTCACTCTACTTAATAGAAACACATGCCATAAAGACCTTACTCTTACCAACATTTAACCACAAACCATACATAAAGTAAAACTCATCCAAAACACACTGTATCCCGATAACAGAATCAACAATACCCTTACAAAAAATAAGCAGATCATTTGTAAAACAAAGATGAGTAAGGCCAATATTTTTACACTTAAAATGATAACTGAAAACCCCCTTGGCAGTAGCCACATTAAGCATACAGGATAACACATTCATTGCAAGTACAAAAATGTAGGGCGAGAGTGAATCCCCTTGCCTAATGCATCAAGCACCTTTAAAGTACCCCACTAAGCTACCATTGAACACAACATAGTATTTAGGCGTGGTAAAACATGCCTAATCCATCCAATAAACCGTTGAGGCCCCAAAGCATACAAAATAGAACCCACAAACTTCCAATTCAGTAAATCAAGTGCCTTTTGAAGATCAATCTTCAAGGAATATATAAGGGAAATAGTTTTTCTTGTATACCCCTAACAATCTCTTGAGCAAGCAGTGTATTATCTACAATGATATGCTCCTTAACAAATGTAGTCTGATTTAAAGCAATCATCCCAGGGTAATAAACATATAAACGCCTCGCTAAGATCCTTGAAACGACATTATAAATCACCGAGCAACAAAACAACAACAACAATAACAATAAAACCCTGATTCCCATATACAATGGGGAAAGGGGGAGGTAGGGTAGTAGGCTGACCCCAACGCCAGGTTGAGAGCAGCTTCCGTGGAAGACCTCCGGCAGTCAGAAAATTAAAAATAAAGATAAAATGCAAATGCGTGTATAAATAAATACATAGATGAACAGTCTTCGTATGCAGTCTTGATATGTGCGTCTGTAATGGGGAGTAATCCCTGTAAATAATTCCCTACAAATAATTCCCTACATAGAAATATCTGCATATAGACTGAAAATGTAAGACCCAGCTAAATTTAAAAAGAGGAAACATGAATATAAATGTTACACAGAAGTCAATAATAGCAAGCTACGAGGAGGAATAAATTCAAATGAGTTAATTCTTAAACTAAGGCAACACTACTTCGATACCCTAGTTCTAAGCCTTCATACATTTCAATGACATAAACATATATAAAACATGAGTCATGGAAAGTACTACA